GGCACGCCCAGCCACTGGTCGTGGACTTGTGGGTACCCGGGGCCGGGACCCTCAGAACAGGCTGCTCAGGGGCAGCAGGGCCAGCAGGAGCAGCAGGGGCCCCGGGGCGGGGCTGCCCGCCGTGCTGCCCTGGGCACAGTGGTCCAGGTTGGCCCCGATGCAGGCCGCGTAGGCCATCACGTGGGGGATGTAGTTCTGCTCATGGACGCCGTGCAGCAGGTGCGCCATGGGGCCCTTGGCGAAGACAGCCACGTCCTCCCCGCCGTGGGTCTCGTGGCGCAGGGGCACGGCCGACTGGGCCTGGTAGTTGTTGTGAGCTGTGGGTGAGAGGGAAATGGCTGAGCACCTGCCCGGGCTGGCACTGTGCGCAGCTCCTCTGCTCCCACCCTGCAGTTTGAACGCCCCCCGTTTACAGGAGAGGACCCTGGGGCTCAGCGCGGGGAAACCCGCGCTCATTAGACCATCCCATCCTTCACACCCCCTTGGGAGAATGGAGGGACCCGAAGCTGCGAAGGGCGAAGTCACGCCTGAGGTCGCAAGCTGCTGAGTGGCAGAAGGGGGTTCACAGGAGATGACCGACTCGAGCCCCGAGACCCCCAACCTGGGCCACGAGCTTACGCTCTGTCACAAGCCCACCCCCGCGGGCTGCTCGGTGCCTTCCCTGTCCTGGGTCTTGGCAGTCTCACCGTAGTCGACCATGGAGACATTTTCTCGCTCACCGCCCACGACCTTGTAGCCAGGCCCGTTTCCATAGAGGATGGCGGTGAAGGGCTTCTTGTCCGTGTCGCTCACCATGGGAGCCAAGCCTGCACGGGAGGGCGGCTGGTCATGCCAGGGCACCGAGGGCTGGGCCTCTCAGTGGCTGGGCGCCCCTGGATCTTCCTCACCGGCGCCATACCACCTCCGTGAGGCCACCTTCCAAACTGCATTTACTCCACTTTCACTGTCCCCACGTCCTTCCCACCTGTCTGTCACCCTCCCACCCACCACCCAGCCATGCCTTCAGCTCACTCCGGCTCCTCACCCTGCATCCTCCATGCCTGTAACCGGTAATTCTCCCTCCCCACCCAGGTACTCTGAGTCCCCGCCAGGGCTGGGCCCGCTGGTTCTCTGACCCGACTGCACTCCCAGGTGGGCAGACAGGAGATCTGGGAGCGCCCATGCCCACCCCAACAGAGGCTCGCCTACCAAAGATAGAGTTGCCACGGGGGGTGTATCCACCAAAGGTGAAGACGTGGGAGTGGTCAGCAGTGACCACGGTCAGCGTGTCTTCCAGGGAGGTCATGGCACCTGCCTGTCCGATTGCCCGGTCCATCTCCACCGCCTCGTGCAGTGCCTGCTTGGCTTTGCCTTCGTGGTGTCCGTGGTCGATCCTGCCTCCTTGGGACACCGAGGCAAAGGCCCGGGTGAGGGGCCAAGGAGGAGACGTGCACTCCCAAGGCCCACAATTACCCTTCGCTGCGCAAGGCCGGCTAACTGCTCTGTGGCAGGAGTCACACCTTAGGCGTCTCGCCAGAGGGTCACGCGGTCAGAGGCACAAGCAAGGCGCGTGCCCCGCCAAGACCAGAGCAGAGGCCCCAGCCGAGCGCGTGTGCTCCGCACCCACTCCGCTCCAGCACCAAGGCTTCCGGCCGGAGAGAGCTCCTGGAGACCTCAGGGAGGTAGGGAAGGAGCACCTGCCTGCGCACCTACTGTGTGCCAGGCATGACACCATCTCATTTCCCCTCACAACCAACCTGGGCAGAGATGGGGTCTGATCAGCCACATTTACAGATGGAGCAACTGAGGCCTGGGGTGGGAGACGGGGTGTCCTCATGGGGGGGGTTGCTGGGATTTGAATTCAGCTGAGACTCATTGACTCTTCCCTCTCGAAGCAGGAAGCACAGGGGCCTCTCACTCCCAGGAGGTGAATGCTGGGTACCAGGGCAGTGCTCACGCAGGCTTCCTGGTGGCCTGAATCGCACAGCGCCTCCCTCTCGGGGAGGCCAGGAGCCTGGCTGTAAGCTGGCCTAGTGGCTGGCAGCTGTGTGACCTCGGGAACCGCCTCCCCCTCTGCCGGGACGCACAGCCTGGGTGGACACTCCCAGCAGAGGGTCTGTGCCTGGGCGCCAGGCTGCCCCCTGTCCCCACCGGCCAGTGCCTCACAGCTGGCCTGGTGGGCCGGCAGGGCGGGGCCCCCCTTTGTTGTGGCTCTGGGAGCAGCTGGCCTGGCGGCCTGGCCTGGCTCTGCTCACAAAGAGGACAGCTCCCAGGGGAGCCCGTGTTCACCACAGCTGGTTCCTGGCAGGCTCCTGGCGTCAGAGGCCGGTCCGGGGCTGAGACCGCTGTGCTTGAGTGGGAACCCCAAGGTTTGGCACAAAAACAGCCAGGCTGGGCTGCCACCCCTGGCCTCTGGAGGTGGAGGGGCTGACTGTGTGTGTGTGGTAAGAGCACACGTGCAAGGATGTCCCTGTGTGCGTGTGTGTGTGCGCACACGCACGTAGACCTCAGCGGGGCGACGTGAGTGACCAAGACGCTCACTGGCTGGTAAAGACGCTCACTGGCTGTTAGCATGGGAGACTGCAGGTCCACCTCACACCTCCTACGGGACGGCCTAGCCCCTGTGTAGTCAGGACGGTGACGGAACAGGCATGGGTCGCATTCTTGGCTGGGCCCAGTATGTCTGTCTCTGAATGCAATGGCGGCTAGTCCCCCTTTCAGGGAAGGGGCGCTGTCCCCGGTCGCATTTACAGAAGCTGCTGGCACAGGTCACACAGCCTGCGGGTGGCAGCACCAGGACAGGACAGGAACCTGAGCCTGACGGGGGCGCTGTCCCCGGTCGCATTTACAGAAGCTGCTGGCACAGGTCACACAGCCTGCGGGTGGCAGCACCAGGACAGGAACCCGAGCCTGACTCCAGGCCTGTGAACGCCAGCATGTGGCATGGCACAGCCCGGTCGCAGACGCTCAGAAGAGTGAAGTGGAGGGGCTGCAGCCCCCTCCAGAGCCAGGGCTTGTAGAGAGACCCCCAAAGGGAAGAAACCCACCTCGTCTCTCAGAAGCCCTTCCTGGGCTGCCACCCCCACGGAGCGAGCTTCCAGAGCCCCCTCCCCAAGTCCACAACCCTCCCCCCTGGAAGTTTCTCCCTTCCTTCCAAAACTGGTCAGCTCTCTTTGAGCTGGATTGCCCCGCCCTTCCTAGGGCCATGTTTCCAGAAGCTCCCTCTCGGCAGGCCTAGGGCCCCTACCTTCCACCAGCAAAAAGAAGCCTTTGGGGTTCTTCTTCAGAATCGTGAGGGCCACCTCCACCATCTCGGAGAGGGACGGGTCTGTCACATTGTTCCTGTTCAGCTCGTACTGCATGTCTCCCGGCTCGAAGAGACCTGCAGTGGCACAGAGGGGTGTAGATGTGGCAGGGTCAGGGGGACCCCAAACCTGGGGTGTCTCAGGAGCACAGACTGCCCACACCCAACTGGGGTGCAGAGTGGGGCAGGGGAGGACTCTATCGTGGGCTCATATGAGCCCAGAATTGTGTCCACCATTCCTCTTCACAGCCATCTCTATGGTGAGGGGTCACATGCCCATTTTCCAGAGGAGGAGACTGAGGCTCGGAGTGGCAATAGCTTGCTATTCCAGTCTGAGATTCAAACCCATCAGTCTACCTCCAGCCAGGACACAGCTCTGTGACGCCAAAGCACAGGGCCATAGCCTGCACCAACAGGGCAGCTTGCACATGTGTGCATTCACACGGGGGTTGAAGGGCACAGCGTGTACAGCCAAACAGCAGAAGGCTCAGAGTCATGGTCCCTGCTGGTCCCCAAGCTCAGTTTTCCCCTTGTGACATAAGAGCAGTATGTTCCTTGTCCATGTCACAAGGTTCCATGTGCTGGGGGTTCTGGTCCCTTCCGTGAGGGTGTGTGAGGGCACTCAGCCCTAATTTGCAATGCTCCTCTCTGTCTCTGCTGTTCTTTTTTTTTTTTTTTTTTACAGTTTTTTTTTTTTAAGAGGTTTTTGCTATAGGGCGCATGCGCTCGCCAGAGAGAGAGAGAGAGAGAAACAGAGAGACAGAAACCGAGAAATCACCCCCCCCGGGGGGGATGGCCACGCCTCAATCCCTTCTCCTCCATTCTCCTCTCGGGATCTTGGGCACGCACGCACACGCACCCGGCGAGTTTAAGCCACCAGGTCCGGGACTCGAACCGCAGTCAACTACATGGGAGTCCAGTGACATAGCCATTATGCTAACGGTTGGTCCCATGTCCGTGCTGTTCTAAGCGCTTTGGAAGCACAGAGGAGTTAGCCTCCAAGATGGTGCCCACAGTCTCTGCCTGTAGAGCACACACCCCTGTGTGGCCCCCCCACATTGACCAGGCCAGCCTGTGTAGCCAGCAGAACAGAGCACTGCTGCAACAACGGTGAGTGCTTTCCAGGGCCAGGGCACGAGGCACGAGACACGAGGCACGTTCTTGGTCTCTGTGGGAAGCCAGTCACAGTGGCGAGGGCCTGGGACGGCTCTGTGGAGAGATCCATGTGGCGAGGAATGGAGGCTGCCCGCCAACAGTCAAGACAAGCCACTCTTTTTTTTTTTTTTTTTTTGAGAGGTTTTCGCTATAGGGCGCGTACACTCGCCAGACAGACAGAGACAGAGAGACAGAAAGCGAGAAATCACCCCCCAGGGGGGATGGTCACGCCACAATCCCTTCTTCTCCATTCTCCTCTCGGGATCTTGGGCATGCACGCACACATGCCCGGCATGAGTTTTAAGTCACCGGGTCCAGGACGCGAACCGCGGTTAACTACACGGGAGTCCAGCGACACAGCCATTACGCTAACTGCTGGTTCCCCCAGCCAGTCTTGAGAGTGTGCCACCCTGGGAGCTCCGGCCCCAGACGAGCCTTCAGATGGCGGCAGCTAAGCTCTTCCCAAACCCCTGACCCTCACAGCTGTGTGAGGTCATACATGTTAACTCATTTCAAGCCGTGAAGTTCCGAGATGAATTCGTTACGTGGCAACAGAGGACTTAGAAGATGTATTAGTTTATTTCAGGCGTACGGCAGCCTTGCTGTAGGTCCCCTCATGTCCATTTTATAGAAGAGCGATTACCCCTGCTTTGCAGGAGAGGAGACAGGCACAGAGAGGCAAAATCGCTTGTCCCAGGTCACACAGCTAATAGAGGGCAGGGCTGTGAACACGGCACTCTGACTCGAGGGTTCACGAGCGGAAGTTCCACGCCACATCAGCACGTAGAGGGCGCTGTGCATGTGTGCAGGGGTTCTCCAGGCACCTGGCTCTGAGCCACAATCTCTGACACCCTGCGGACCCAGGGCGGGGCTCCTTGATGATCGCTGCTAGCTTGGTACACCAGCCAGGTGGCAAGAGGACCCAGGTGTCTGTGTGGTGCTCGGGGACTTGCTCCACCCAGCCTGGAGCTGCCCCAGCCCCTTGCTTAGTCCCCATTCCTCCAGGTCCAAGTCCCAGCTCCCAGCCAGGACTGTCCATGCCCAGGCCACGCCACGACTCAGCTGTGCTGCTCGCCACGGGCCGCTCCCCTCTCTCAACTCTAATTGCTCCTGTGTCCATGGGGCTAAGCTCGCCTGCCCAGCCAGCAAATTTCAGGCCTCGTTCTGGGGACCAGAGCCCCCCCTTCTCACCCCTGCCAGGTCCTGGAGCCTGAGGGCTGGACTCCCGCAGCCCTGGCCACAGGACTTCCAGCCACGCATCCTCCATGCTACCCTGCACTCACCCAAGAGGTAGTCCACGGTGTAGGGGTCAAGGGCCAGGAGCTCGGTGCGGTTCCAGACGAAGTGGGCGTGCTAGGAGGAAGGGCTTGTGTCAGCACTTGCCCGGCTGGGGGCAGCTGAAGGCCCAACTCCAGCTGCTCTCAGAGTCCTGGGCATGCAATCGTTCCCTTCCCTCCTTTAACAATCTCTCCCTAAGGATCCACTATGCCTGGCCTGGAGAAATGGCAAACAGGCAGTGAGCACTGTCTAAAGCAAGGGGTGAGCATTCTGAGACCCCTGGAACCATGAGCAGGGTCAGGATCAGGGAGGGCTTCCTGGTGGGGGTGATGCCCTAATGGAGCCCTGGAGGATGAGAAGGAATGATCGGCAGAGGGGCAGGGAGGAGTGTTGCAGGCAGGCGGGGTCACAGGGCAGGCAGGAGACTTCCCCAGCTCTGCACTCACCTAGCTCCTGGTCCACAGGAAGGGTCTGCAGGGCCCGCCACAGGGTGTGTGAGCTGTGAGCTCAGGGCCATGAAGCCAGGGAGAAAGCAAGCCCTAGGCCTGCCTTGGCGTTCCACCCAGGAGGGAAGAGATAGGAAGTGCTGCCCCTCAGGGCGTAAGGACCACAGAGGGGCTGGCCGGGCTTGGCCTGCAGACGGCTGTCTTCCCAGCCCCTGGGCCAGCAGTGCCTCAGCTGCAGGTCCTTCAGAGGGCTCTCCCTCTCTGTGGGCCCCGGCCCTGGGGTCAGTGGTTTCAGGGGCTGCAGTGGGGACAAGGGTGGGGAGGCCCTCAGACCCCTGCTTCACTGAGGTTGCTCTTTTTATTTGTTTGTTTTCAGAGAGAGAGATTTTTGCTGTAGGGTGTTTGTGCTCACTGGAGAGAAAGAGACGGAAAGCAAGAAATCACCCCTGGGGGGATGGCCACGCCACAATCTCCTCTCCTTCATTCTCCTTTCGAGATTTTAGGCACGCACACACATGCGCCTGGCATGTTTTAAACTTCTGGGTCTAGGACTCGAACCGTGGTCAACCCCATGGGAGTCCAGCGCCCCAACCACTACACCACCCACTGGCTCTTCTGTGTTCTCGCACTTCGTCCTCATGTCAGCCCTGCATGGTCCTGCCATCCCCACTGCACAGATGGGGACACCGAGGCACACAGAAGCTGCAGCTCCGAAGTGTTCAAGTGAAGCTGGCTCGAGAACCCGCCTGAAAGGTGGTTTTCCGGGGGTGCGTGGCCTAGACGAGACTGGACAGTGACACCTGACTCAGGCCTGGTGTGAGGGTCTAGACCAAACAGGGATTGAGGCCTGGCCCCATGTTCCATGTGGAGACACTGAGGCTGGGAGGCGAGCTGTCTCCAGGGGGACAAGGAGTGGCTCAGGGCCAGTCTGAGCTGACCCGGAGGAATAGAAAGGGCTCCAAGCTGCTCAGTCCCATGCCACCCCCTGCAGGACCCTGGGGGCTGTTCCCCAGCCCCTGCCCCTGCCTCACTCTTGGCCCTGCCTCATCCCACGAGGCCTCCCCAGGGGCCAGTCCTGGAACCCTCAGAAACCCAAGCCCAGAGTGACATCAAAGCGGCTGCCAGGCTGCTCCCACTGTCTTCAGCCCTGACCACAGTCATTTCCAGAACCCCAGCTGCCCAGGGCTCCCAGCAGCACAGATTTAAAGGGCCAGAGCTTGGGCTCTCCTGAGCCCCAGCTTCCCTGCCCCCAGTCCCTATCCTCCCCCGGACCAAAAGAGGGCATCCCACCTTCTTCCAGCCATAGCCTCCGGCCACCTCTCCAACGCAGCCGTCCTTCCCCTCCTCCTAGCTGCCCAGGGCTTCCTGGCCCCTCCTGGTCTGTCCCCTTGGGGTACCTGCAGGTCCTGAGCTTCCCACGTCCAAGCACATAGTGTTCTGTGTCCTGACCAGCTGACGTGTCCCCTGTGCCCTGACCAGCTGACGTGTCCAGTGTGTCTCCACCCGTCTGGGACATGCCACAGAGGTGCTCAAGTGGACTGAACTCCCATGCAGGGAACTTCGCCGCCTCCCCCCACCTCTCTCTGGGGCAACCGATCACCCACTGCGTGCCATCCATGTATCGCTCGACCATTTTAGCCCATGGAGGTAAGAATTATGATCTCCGTTTTCCAAAAGAGGATGCCGGCTCAGGGTGGGGTCACGCAGCCCCCCACACGCTGTCCCTGCAGCCCCCAGCCCCTTGACGGCTACCTGGTGTCGAGGTTTGAAGCTCTTCCAGACGTCAATGAGGTTCAGCCCATCCAGCCTCGTGCCCCTGGACTTCTCATCCATCTCGTACTCCACGTCGGTCCTATTCTTGGGGTACATGTACTTCCGGCCACCTCCCATGATCACCTAAAAGTGACAGGCGCCATCAGTACCCCAGAGTTCCAGATGTCCAGAAGCCCCCGTGGCCTGGCCTAGACAGCTGGTCTCCTGGTGCCCCTGGGGATGGTGTGGGCTACTTACCCAGCGAGCTGAGTCCTGGGCTCAGGAGTCTCTGCGCCTTCCGTTCTCCAGCTCCCAGGCCTGTCTGTTGAGACTGGCTTGGGCTTCGAGCAAGCCCTGGAGCTATGGCCGGCGCACTACCCGACTCTCCAGCAGGCTGGCTCAGGGCTCACCGAGGCTGCGAGCAGGGGCACAGGCTGCGTGCTCTGCGTGCCAGCGCTAAGCCACACTCACGCAGCTTCCCACCAGGTGACAGGGGAAGTGTGGGACCCATTTTCCAAATAACTAAATGGGCAGAAAAATGTGACCCCCACCCCCTGGGGCCACACACCCAGTAAGGGGCAGAGCCAGGATTCGAAGCTTGGGACCCGTGGCACCCGTGGAGCCGAGGCCAGGGACTCCTCGAGCCTGCTCTCCCACAGCGAGAGGCAGAGCGCGCGAGGCCGCAGCCAGGGAGGTCTCCGGGGCAGCCCAGCTGGGAGCCGGCCCACCGCAGCCTGGCAAACAGCGGCCCGGGCTCGCGTCTGTGTAGTCACCGCCGGGCTAATTTTACCCACCACGGTGCTGTGCGTGGGCAGGCGGTCGCGGGGCTGTTTGTTTTCCTTGGGAGTCCATGTTTGAAGTCCTGACTATTTTTAAAACAAGGGCCAAGCGCACAGCAGCCGCCGCCCGTGGGGACCATCATGCTGGTGTCCTCCTGTCACCGCGGGCGCCAGCCCAGGACACTGCCCCTGGCTGACACTTTGGGAGAGCAGGGCCCAGGTGCTCTGTCCCCAGGCCTAGTGTCTCACAGGCTCCCTTCTGTACCCTCCACTCTGTCCCCCCCTCAGAAGCCAGTCTCCGCGGGGTGGAGAGGGAGCCAGGAGTCCAGGGTGGTGGTGGAGGTGGGGAAGGCACCCCAGGACTGGCCTAGGTCATGGGGACCTGCAGAGACCTTGGGCTTGGAAGTCAGACTTGGGCTCAAATCCCGAGTCTCCACTTACTGACCAGTGGCCTGCTACTTAACTCGGCCTCAGGCTCCTTATCTGTAAAATGGGAAGAACACCCCCACAGGCGGTCACAGGAGGAGACGCTGAATCCAGGGTTGCCCGGGCACCGGGGCAGCTTCCAGCAGAGGGATGTTACGACCAGGAGGGGGAGACAGAGAGGCAAGGTTCTCACCCCTGCCGCCACTGGGCTCTGGGGCAGGCTGCCAGGGCAGAAGAGAAGGGGACCCCAGGTCACGGGTCCTCTGCCTCCCCCCATTGTTCCCGCAGAACCTAAGCCCTTGGCATTTGCAGGGTGGAAAACGAAGCCCCCAATCTTGCCTGGAGCCTCATCCTTTCCAGTCCCAGTAGAGACTTCACACGGGCTCATTAAACTCCCAAATAACAGACTTGCTGTTTGGCTTTGGGGTTTGGGTTTGTGTCTTTTTTTTTTTTTTTCTTTCTTTTTTTTAAAGCAAAAGATATTTATTTTCAGGGCGTACACCAGGATTTCTGTTTCATGTACAGCCTGGGGATGGGGGGCTTCTGAGGTGGCAGTGCTGGAGGGGCCGCTGGGGTCGGAAGAGGAGGGGAAGAGGGGGGAAGGAGGGGGGCGC